CCACGAAATGTGGGGTGTGCCGAAACAGATGCGGTGGGCGCATGCGCACGCGGCCACTGGAGCCGTCGGTGGAATTCCCGATGGGGCCACGAAATGCGGGGTGTGCCGAAACAGGTGCGGTGGGCGCATGCGCACGCGGGCCACTGGGGCCGTCGGTGGAGATCCCCAAGGGGCCGCGAAACGTGTGATGGGTGTACCGAAATGGGTGCGGTGGGCGTGACGAAATGGGTGTGGGTGACGCATGCGGGCGGTGGCACTGGCGCCTTCGCTGGAGCTCCCTATGGGGCCACGAAACGTGTGAGGGGTGTGACGACATGGGCGTGGGTGACGCATGCGGGCGGTGGCACCGGGGCCCTCGCTGGAGCTCCCTATGGGGCCACGAAACGTGTGAGGGGTGTGACGACATGGGCGTGGGTGGCGCATGCGGGCACACCCACTGGGACCTTCGGTGGAAATCCCTATGGGGCCACGAAACGTGTGAGGGGTGTGCCGACATGGGGCGGCGCCGCCACGTGAACTGCACCACTGGCACCTTAGGTGGAGCTCCCTATGGGGCCACGAAAACGTGTGAGGGGTGTGCCAAAATGGAGCAGCGCCGCCATGCGCAGTTCGCCACTGGGAAGGAGCTCTTTGTGGGGCCACGAAATCGTCTGAGGGGGGGTATGCCCAAATGGGGGGCGCCGCCATGCGAACTGCCGTGGGGCCCTTAGCCACGAAACATGTGAGGGGTGTGCCAGAATGGGGCGGGGAGGTCATGCGAGTTCCGCCACTGGGACCTTAGGTGGAGCTCCCTATGGGGCCACGAAAACGTGTGAGGGGTGTGCCAAAATGGGGCGGGGATGCCATGCGAGTTCCGCCACTGGAACCTGAGGTGGAATTCCCTATGGGGCCACGAAACGTGCGAGGGGTGTGCCCAAATGGAGCGGGGATGCCATGCGAGTTCCGCCACTGGGACCTTAGGTGGAGCTCCCTATGGGGCCACGAAACGTCTGAGAGGTGTGCCAAAATGGGGCGGGGATGCCATGCGAGTTCCGCCACTGGGACCTTAGGTGGAGCTCCCTAAATGGCCACGAAACGTGCGAGGGGTGTGCCCAAATGGAGCGGGGATGCCATGCGAGTTCCGCCACTGGGACCTTAGGTGGAGCTCCCTATGGGGCCACGAAACGTCTGAGGGGTGTGCCAAATGGGGCTGGGATGCCATGCGAGTTCTGCCACTGGGACCTTAGGTGGAGCTCCATCTGGAGCCACGAAACGTGTGAGGGGCGTGCCCAGGGGCCTTAGGTGGAGCTCCCTATGGGGCCACGAAACGTGCGAGGGGTGTGCCAAAATGGGGCGGGGATGCCATGCGGAGGGCAGAGGCAAGGAGGGCAGAGGCAAGGAGGGGGAGGAGGGATGAGGAGGAGGAGGAGGAGGAGGAGAAGAAGAAGAAACGCGGGGCACCGTCTCTTCAACACGAGGACCCAACACCACAGTATGGTTGGGAACAATACACAACACTCTCTTCCTCCACATTTGGAGCATGCGCGGCTGCCCCGCGACCACTTTGCATTGGTATTTTACAGGGGACGGCCGGGGTGCCAGCAGATCTCACCTGCCTTCTGGCCGCAGGTTGTCGACCGACTGCTTTGACAAATCAATGGCTGCTGCCTTCTCGCCGTTTCGTTTCCGATGGGCTCTCGAAGCCCCCACATGGACCCAAACGGGCCAAGAAAGCTCCAAGCCAGGCCTAATAAGCTTCCAAACTGGCCCCACGAACGCCCCAAGTTGGCGCCAGGAGGGCTCCAAGAGGCGGTCTCGAGAGCCCCAGAAGGGGAAGGCGGCCCAAAGAGGGCCTCAAGAGGCGGTGTCGAAGGCCCCTGCAGGGGGGCTGGCCCCAGATTGGGGGGGGGGGACTTTTGGACGCCCGAAATGGGTACGGAAAGAATGGGCACAATCAATGCCGAACAACAAATGTTGTCCCAAACCAACAGCGGCCAAACCAACAGCGGCCAAACCAACAGCGGCCGCTGCTGGGCAGGCGGCCTTCTGTCTCGAATGGACACAGGCCGCGGCGGCGTGGACAGCGAGTCCTGTTCAAAATGAACCAGGTCCGCTGTTGGGCATTGTACCCAGTCTTTCCGTACCCAATTCGTTCGTGCCGACAGCTAGGGGTGGGACTGAACGTTACCCCCCCCTCTGGGCCTGGCCGCGCGCCACGCGCGGAGCCGCGGAGCTTCCCTGTCGCAGCTGAACCTGCAGCCGGCACGGCGGGAGTGTGAATGCCCTGGCGTGCACTTTGCACTGCGTTTCGACGACATGGTTCGGTGCTAGGGAACCGAAAAGTGGCATAAGCATAAAAACTCGGAAATCCGCGCGGACCTCCGAATTGTTATGTTTACGTCACGTTCTGTTCCCCTAGGTGCACACCGGGACCTGGAGTCGTTGAAGCGTCCAAGATGGCCCTCGGCGAGAAGGCCATTGGACCTCGTTACTAAGGTCTTGGACCCATTTGGGTCTCCTGGGGAGGGGGGGGGGCAGCGTTACTGATTACCCTCCCTTCTTTGATTGAACTCCCCCAAGATGGCCCCCAGATGGCCCCCGAGGCTTCCGAGAGTGCCCCAAGTGTACCCAAGAGGTGCCCAGAAGGCCCCGAGAGGCCAGCAAGATGCCCCAAATATCCCCCCACGAGGCTCCCGAGAGACCGTCAGGAGGCCCCAAGAGGCCCCCCCCGCCGAGGCACCCAAGACGCTTCAAGAGGTCCCCCGGGCCGCCAAAAGGCCCCAACGGGCCTAAATGAAGCTCTCGAGAGGCATCCGAAGAGACTTCGAAAGGCATCCAAAAGGCCTCCAACCTTCCTGTTCGCCATCTTCCTCCTCCTCCTCCTCCTCCTCCTCCTCCTCCTCATCCACACAATCGTCATTCTCCCTCCTCCCTTCTCCCTCCTCCCCTCTTTCCCCCCTCCTCCTGCTCCTCCAATTCCAGGCATCCCCCCTCTTGGGGTATGACGTCTTACCCAACCCTTTTAATTCACCGCATGCTCCTCCGCATCCATGATCAGGGCAACTCGTCTGGGCATCGTTTCTGGATGGGCTGGTGGGGTTGCGCGAAGCGTCTGGAGTATGGCTGGTATTCGATTTTGGGGATGACATCTTCCGCTCCCCCATGTCCACTTTCCTTTTTTCCTCCTTCCCCGCTTTCCCCTGACGAGGCGCCCATTCAGGATCTGAGCACTGAATATCCAGGTGGCGTCCCGGAAATTGTTGGCAGCTTTGGTCGGACATGTTCGCGCGCGCGTGCTGGGGCCGCACGGGGACATGCCCTGCCGTTGCTCGTGGGTAGGATGCTTGGCCGTGGGGGGGGCGCGAATATCCAGGATATCGGGTTTTAGAATCCAAGATATTCCGCAAGATGGCTGCACTGAAATGAACGACCAACTAGCATGAAACCAGGTTTTCAACTCAGGTTAGCCGCAAGCTCCCACTTGTGCATTCCAGGGCGCAAAATCGGATAGGATATCTTGCTGAGACTCGAATGAGATATCTGCATCTTGAGTTACACTTAGAAAACGCCGACCGACCTGATTTCTCTGGTTCGCCAGAGGACATGCTTCTTCAGTTTTCGCGATAGCGGTCGTGACTGCCTTCGGCTGCGCCTCCCCACCTCCCAGGCAACGTCACGATTCGTGCCGACCTACGAAATTGTCGTTGGTTAATCCTAGACATGCCTTGACGTTATCGGCCCCGCCCCGCCCCCCCTCCCCCCGTTCCGACTAAGGATGCTATCCACGGGCCGCAGCAAAGTCCCGTGCGAGCCAGCCTTTCTGGTCACGAAGTGCTTCGGCGCTTCAGCGCTAGCAGGAAAACATCAGCATCACCACCACGACCATCATGATCATCATCAGTAAGATCATCATCATCAGCATCACCAGCATCATCATCACAATCAGCATCAGCATCATCAGCATCATCGTTATCATCAGCCTCATCACCACCAATATCATCAGCATCACCACCGTCATCACCATCAGAATCCACATCATCATCACCATCGTATTCATCATCAGCATCATCACGAGCATCGTCATGAGCATCATATTATCATCATCAGCAGCATTATCATCAGCATCAGCATCATCGTCAGCATCATCATCAGCATCATTGGCATCATCATGAGCATCATCGTTATCACCGACATCAGCAGCAGCGGCATCAGCATCATCATGATCACCACCACCACACACCAGTAAGGCCCGAGATCACCATGGAAAACAACAACACGCTCTCCAGGGATCCCTGCTGTCCGCTCGCTGCTGGAGGAGGAGGAGGAGGAGGAGGAGGAGGAGGAGGGGGAGGAGGAGGAGAAGGAGCAGGAGGCGGCCCAAGGGGGAGGCCGAGGGAGGAGAAGGCGGCGGAAGAGGGAGGAGGGAGGGCCCGCTCCAGTGGCCATCGCTCGGACGTCCATGTCCCGCATTTTTGTTCGGTTTCGTGCGTGGCTGCTTCGCCAAATCATCGAGGATGCTCCTCGATGGTCCTCGCCGAAGGAAGAATGCACACGTCCGAGCGGTGCCAAGTCCATGCCCCTCCCGCTGCTCGCGCACCCCCCCCCCCCGGGGCTCGCTGCCGGAGGAGGAGGAGGAGGAGGAGGAGGAGGAGGAGGAGACCCAAAGAGGAGGCAGAGCGAGGAGGAGGCGGCGGAAGAGGGAGGAGGGAGGGCCCGCTCCAGTGGCCATCGCTCGGACGGCCATTTCCCGCGTTTTTTGTTCGGTTTCGTGCGTGGCTGCTTCGCCAACTCATCGAGGCTGCTCCTCGATGGTCCTCGCCGAAGGACAAATGCACACGTCCGAGCGGTGCCAAGTCCATGCCCCTCCCGCTGCTCGCTCCCCCCCCCCCAGGGGGAGGGGGAGGATGAGATGGAGGAGGAGGAGGAGAGAGGGGAGGAGGAGGAGGAGGGGGAGGAGGAGGAGGAGGGCGGCGGGGAGGAGGACTGCTCGCTCCCACACCCCCCAGCGGCGGCCCCGGGGCTCCCCTTCAGCGCCGCGGCGCTCAGGGCCGCGCCGCCGAGGGGCACCCGCGAGCGCGTCTGCATGCCGCTGGGCGGCTTCTCCGTCTGCGGCGGGCGCGGGGGGGGGGGCGCCCGTCGCTGCGCTCGCCGTTCCACCGTGCGGGCAACCATTCTTAACGGGCGAAAAACGGTATAAGATAAACTTTTTCGCTGTCGGGGGCGCCTATCCCTGGGCGGCTGGAAAGTTTTATACCCTTACGGTGGCACCGTAGGGGTATAAACTTTCCAGCCGCCCAGGGACAGGCGCCCCCGACAGCGAAAAATATTATGTTATACCTTTCTTCGCTCGCTGACATTAGGCGGACGTGGTTGCAAAGAGAGGAACGCTGCAGGCCAGAGTTGTCGAGGCCGATGCGGCAACTTCGGAAGGCTCTCGCGCCGTAGGAAAGCAAGCGGTTATAGGTGTGTTGCTCGCTGCACGGCGATGACCATGGACACGGGCCAACGGGATCATCAGGCCTTGGATCACTTGAAGCTTGACGAACGAACAACACACACCCATATCCATAGGGGGGTCGTTGGGAGGAGGACTGGCTATGGGTATGGGTGCGGGTTGTTGGACCCTGGGGAGCGCTCCCGTTCGAGCGGGGACCCCATCCGACAGCACGCACCCAGAGCCCTCTCCGATCCCCCATATTGGTATGGGTGTGTGTTGTTGGTTCATCATCACCTTTGACGCTGCTCGCGGAGGGCGGAACCCGGCAAGCTCCCAACAAGGGGCCGAAGAAGCTCGCAAAGGGCTTCCCAGCAGTCTGGCACGGAAGCGTCGGACGTCGCCACGCTGCGGCCCTTCCGACCCAGCCACTGGGAAATCAAGGGACACATGCCGGAGAAGCGGACTGCTGCATGTGACGACCCTCGGGTTCTCGGGAGCATAGGTGACGTGTGACGGCGTTCAGGGCCCTCGGGAGCAACATGTTATGGCATGCTCGAGCCTGCGGAAGAGCGAGTCACATGTTCTGGTTCCCATGGGTGGTAGCTGCCACAGGTTCGGCATGCTGCGCAGCTCTCACGGGGTTGGCACCTTCCTGCGTCGCTGCTGGCAAGGGGGCGGAAAATACAGGCACCTGAACAATGCGGACTGTCCGCCATCGTGCCCCCTGGTACGTTGAGGCGTGGAAGAATGCCACGGGCTGTCTGGTAGGGCTTCTGATTCTAATCATAAGGGACCCCCCCTCCGCCGCAGATTGCTGCGTGCATCCCGCCTACATTGCAAGGCCAGTTTTCGTGCCTGCTCGAGGATGATGCACTTCCAGCATGGCAGCTAATGCCTACACCTCCATTCCACGCGTGCCCGCTCGAGGATGGTCCACCTCCCGCCTGGCAGCTAATGCATGAACACTAACTCCATGCGAGCCCGCTCGAGGACTGTGCACTTCCCGCATGGCTGCTTACTCCTAGACCCTTCATCCGACGCGCTCCCGCTCGAGAATCGTGCACTTCCCGCATTCCCAGGCGTTCAAAACGGCCCAAGATACCTCCAAGAGGGCCCGAAAATGCCACAAGAGGACCCCAAACAGGGTCCGAAGAATCCAAATCATTGATGCTTCTTTGGTGTTTCAAAGATTGTCGCGTTCTCCATTGCTCGGGCTTCCGTCAGCTCAAGACGGCCGAAGAAGCCTCCATGATGGCCCCAAGACAGCCCAAGAGGCCCAGAAGAAATTCCCACGATGGCCCGACAATTGCCAAGTAGGTCCCCAAAAGGGTCCCAAGATGGCCCAAGAGGTCCGACGACTCCAAAGAAGCACCCCAAACGGCCCCAAGACGGCCCAAAAAAGCCTCCCGTGGGACCCAAGACGGCCTTAGAAGGCTGTTTGACTGCCTGAAACGGCCCCACGACGGCCCCCCCTGGCACGCACCGTACTGCCAAGAGGGCCCCAAGACTGCCCAAGAGACCCCCAAGACGGCGTAGGAGGGCCCCAAGTCAGCCCAGGAGGGCCCAAGACTAGCTCACAGGAAGCCGAGGCAGCCCCAAGACGGCCCAAACAGGTCCATGAGAGCTCGAAGAGGAAACGTATCACATGATGAAACAGCCTTCCGCTTGCTCATTCCTCGTCCTGCTGTTTCTATTCTTGCTTATCATCCTCCTCCGCCCCCCTCCTCCTCCTCCTCCTCCTCCTCCTCCTCCTCCTCCTCCTCCTCAGCATCATCATCATCATCATCATCATCATCATCATCATCATCATCATCATCATCATCATCATCATCATCATCATCATCATCATCGTCATCATCATCATCATCATCGTCATCATCATCATCAGCAGCAGCAGCATCATCATCAGCATCATTATCATCAGCACCATCCTCATCAGCATCATCATCATCATCAGCAGCATCATCAGCAGCATCCTCAACGGCATCATTATCAGCATCATCATTATCATCAGCATCATCACCACCATTATCATCAGCATCACCACCATCAGCATCATCAGCACCAGCGTAATCAGAAGCAGCATGACCATAAGCTCCATAACCAGCATAATAATCAGCATCAGCACCATGATCATCATCATCACCATCATAATCATTAGCATAATAATCATAATCACCATCAGAATGATCGTCATCATGAACATCATCATCATCATCAACCTCAACAGCATCATAATCATGATCAGCATCATCAGTATCAGCATCCTCATCATCAGCATCATCATCATCATCATTACAATCATATGCAGCAGATGCAACGTCATCATCAGCATCATCGGCATCAGCATCAACAGCATCATCATCATCATCAGCATCAGCATCAGCAGCATCATCAGCATCATCATCAACATATCAACACCATCAGCGTCACCATCAACAGCATCATCAGCATTATCATCATCATCCGCAGCAGCAGCATCAGCATTGGCATCAGCATCATCATCATAATTATCATCAGATCAGCGTCAGCATCATCATCATTAGCATCAGCATCATAATCACCCTCATCACAATAGTCACAATCATCATGAGTCTGAGCATCATCCGAATAAGAATCATCATCAGCAGCATCATCAGCACCACGATCATCTGCAGCATCGGCAACATCATCATCAGCATCAACAGCAGCAGCATCATCAAGACCAGCGTCAACAGTAGCATCGTCACCATCCTCAGCAGCATCATCATCAGCATCATGATCGCCATCAACAGCATCAGCTGCATAATCAGCATCAGCACCATCATCAGCCATCATCAGCGGCATCAGCATCATCATCATCATCATACTCAGCAGCATCATCATCATCATCACAATCAGCATCACCATCGTCACCATCATCATGCTCAGCAACCATCAGCAGCATCAGCATCATCATCACCGTAATCAGCATCCGCATCATCGGCATCGTCGTCATCATCATCCGCATCAGCAGCATCATCATAATCAGCATCATCAGCATCTGCATCATCATCAGCATCGGCATGGTCATCATCATCAGCAGCAGCAGCATCATCAACCTCGTCATCGCCGTCTCCATCATCATCATCATCATCATCATCATCATCATCATCATCATCATCCATCAACATCAACATCAGCATCATCAACATTGTCCGCGTCTGCATCCACATCCGCATCCGTATCCGCATCCGCCTGCTACACTTCGCCTCCTCAACAATATCAAGGACAACAGTTACAGCATACTCAACATCAGCAGCATCAGCTGCAACAGCATCACCACCATCATCACCATCAACGTCATCACCACCAATCACTATCAGCATCATCAGCATCCTCGTCGTCATCATCAGTATCATCCTCATCCTCGTCCTCACAATGGCTCTCCCGCCCTCGAACAGTCGTCACCTAGGTTGCTTGGCTGACACGGGGGCGGGACTTGCCGCAGGCAGCTGGATAATTGATCAAAGTTTGGCTAGCTACAGTTTCGTCAGCCTCGAGCTATGCGTCCCTACACTCCAAGAGCTACTCTACGTTATCTGACTGCGGCCAACCGGTAGAACAGCAGTCAGAAAACGCGTCACTAGCCCGAGAGTAGAAAATGCTAGTGGCCGACTCGCCGTCCTGAATGAAGCATGTTCAGGATTCCCCAAAGCGTCAAGGAATGCCTCTGGAGATTGGGGCCAGGAGAACGCAAGCTCTGAGTTAAAGAAGGTCGGCTCCGTGGTGAGGCCCGCATGCCCGCACGTGTTGCCTCACATACTTGCTCTCGAACTTATTTCACCAAGCGGCCAGATTCCAGGACAACCCGAACTTATGATGATGGTAAGCCTGCTTCCTCTGCAGCCAACGCGAGTGAATCGGAACCGATGGGAACGCCATCTGTGAAGAACATACGGGAACACCCCTGGAGCTCGTTCACAACAGTTGGACTGGCAACTCACGAGCCCAGAGCATCAACGAATGCGCCTCCAACGATTTCGGAGTCCAGGGACAATGCCGAGTAAAATCGGTCCAAATGGTTCTGCCCATTTCTCTTGTATGGCTGGGCAAGGGATGCTAGCCCGAAGGACTCGTCTTCATCAGTAGCCTGTCCTCCAGAACTTCCTTGAAATGAGAAGGCACCCATTCAACGAGAACCTCGCCGTCTTATCGTTCAATAATTATTTCAAAATTCCGCTTACCCAAGCAGCAGAAAGATCAGACGTGGTCCGACAAAAACTTGACTCAAATGCCCTTCCCCGCTGACGTACCCTCAGCTGCCAAACACGAATCGCCACCAGTTCTGTTCGTCTCGTGCCCGCGCCTGCGTATTCTAGACGGGCATCACGCAGTGAATATGTCAGCGACGAGCAAAAACACTCTGGCCTAAAATGTGACGGGCCCTTACCTGAAATGATGTCTCTCGGTGCTTTCGGTGCAGAACTCCTGCAGGCAGGTTGACAGCTTTAGTCGGCAAAATCCGACGACGTTGGCGGAAGTGGGGGATTGCTTTATTGTCGGGGGCATGCGGTTACGGCCTACTGTGCGCCAAGCAACCACCCCTGTCAAAAACAACACTGCACTTCGCAACAAAATCTAGATCATGCGCGGGCGCCCCGCGATCACGCTGCACTTGTTGCTGGCAGGGACGGCGTAGGGGGCTGGCACGTTACTGCTGTGCGCAGGCCCACCAGACATCATGATGGCCCTTCCGCCGCGAATGCTCATGGGCTGTCGGCAGTCATGGTGGAGGCCGACATGCTTCCCGAGGTGCGCGGGCGCACCTGGCACACCCTGCGCGTGCCCAGAACGTGGCGCACCTGACGCGGCCGGATCACGCGGCACACCTGGCGAACGCGGAGCACGCGGTGGCACAACTGGCGCACTGGGCGTGCCTGGCACGCTTGGGCCCACGGGTCGCCTGGCGCGCCTGGTGCGCGCTGCGCGCCTGGCACGCGTGGCGCGCCTGGCACGCGGGGCACACCTCACCCCAGCGTCGCGCACCTGGGGCCATTGTCATTTCCAAGCAGCTTTCCATCGAAAGACGGCCGCTGAGTATGCTGAGGTTCGGGCACTGCATATTTGTTGGGAGGGCGGGTGGGAGTGAGCCAAACTGTTTGCGTCCGGGAGAGGTGCATTGATCACTGCTCCTTATCAATACACACCCCCTCCCAGGCGACCGGCGTCCAACCAAGAACTATGAGGACACCATGACGACCCGCCCCCCACCATCCCTTTCAAAAAACAATACAAACCGCACTCTGCCCCCACATTTGGAGCATGCGCGGCCAACCCGATGCGGCCCCCCCACCATCCCTGGCCAAAAAAATACAGAGTACAATTCGGGGCAAAGTCTTGAGTGATGTTCGTGAGGCCCAGAGCACTTTGTAGTGTTTTGACAGGGACGGCGGGTGTGTCAGCATATTCCCTGCTGCGCGCAGGGCTACCATCCCTGACAAAAAGCAATACAACATGCACCTCGCAGTTAAATCTGGATCATGCGCGGTCATCCCGCGATCACTTTCAAATAGCTTTTAACAGGGACCGCGGTGGTGGTGGCGCGTGGCCTGCTTTGCGCAGGCCCACCAGACATAATGATGGGCATTTGTTTTCGACAAGGATGGTGGGGGCCGACATGTTTCCCGACGTGTGCTGTCACGTGCGCAGGCGCACCTGACGCACTCTACACGTGCCCCGAACCTGGCGCACCTGGCGCGGCTGGAGCGTGCGGCACACCTGGCGCACTCGGAGCACGTGGCGCGTCTGGCGCACCAGGCGTGCCTGGCACGCTCGGGCCTCAGGGGTGCCTGGCGCGCGTGGCGCCCCTGGCACGCGTGGCGCACCTCGCCCAAGCGTCGCGCACCTGGGGTCGGCGTTGGTTCCCAGTAGCTGCCCATCCAAAGACGACCGCTGAACATGCTCAGGCTCGCACAGTACTGAAGTGTTGGGAGGGCGGGTGGGAGTGAGCTAGACGGCTTGCCGGCGGGTGGGTCGCCTGACCCCTCCCACTGCTCCCCTCCCCTGACTCTGGACGGGTGGGGCCCGAGCTGGTCTAAAGATGGCCCCCAGGTGGCCACCGGTGCGCCAAGATGGCCTCCAAGATGACACGAGAAGCCGAGCATGGCTTAACATAGCCTCCGACACGAAAGGCCCCCCAGGCGGCTCCAGGTGCCCTCAAAGAAACCAAAATCGTCGTCAAGAGCTGTTTGTACATCCATGATGGTTGCCCTCTCGCCTGTGCATTTCCGATGTGCCTCTGAGGCCTCAGGATGGCGAGGGCCCCAAGACGGCACCGAAAGCGCCCAAGAGCGCCCCAAGAACGCCCCCAAAGGCAAATTGCTCGGCCTCCGAGGGAGGGCGGCGAATGAAGAACCCCCCTTCTCGATCGAGTGTCTCCAGGATGGCCCCAAGAGGCCAGGACCCCAAGAGAGGTCAAAAGACTTCCAAAACGGCCACGGTATTGTTCCGAAGGGTCGCCGAATTCTCTCACGTCACCATCGTTGGAATCTCTGCTTCGCTACATGCTTTACCGACGCCCTCCTCCAGACAATTCTCATGACCATAATTAGTTCCTGGATGGGCTGCTGGAGATACGCGACCCGTCAAAACACACTCGGACATCGGAGATCGAGAGGGATGAAGAGAAAACGCGCGCACCGCGCCGCCCCAGCACCACAGATCGATCGAGGCGCCGCGGGCGCGCCTTGGACGGGACCCACAAGCGCGTGTTCTCCTGTCGGGGCGGATGGGAAGAGTAGGAGGCCACATGCGAACGCTCCCCCACCACCACACGACTTCTGAGGGGGGGGTAGGGTTCACTTCGTTCGGGACCACCCGAGCGAAGCGAACCCCGCCTCCCACCTTAGAAATCGTGGGGTGGTGGGGTGAGGTTCGACGTGGCCTCCCAAAAAGTGTGGGCAACACGCGGGCGGCTCGCGACTCCGCTGCCTGCGGCTGGATCTTCGGGGCGCCCCCCCCCCCCCCCCCCTGGCGTCGGGAGCGGCCGCGTCTCGAGGCGGGGGTGCCGCCTGGCGGGGGCGAAGCCAGCGGCATACAGCGAACGCGGGCGTTCCTTCATCGGAGGGCGGTAATTACAGCCGGCCCGTATCAGAAGGATGCGCGATAAGGATGCAAGGGCCTCGGCCGCCCATTTCGGAGCTTCTCGAGGGGGGAGCGGCCAAGGGAGGTGGGGAAGGATGGGCCGAGGAGGCAAGGATGCCATGGGTACCCTCAGGAAGGCTGCCCGTCCTTACTGTGCGGATCAACTATACTATCAATGGAGGTGGGCGGGGGGCAATCGTGCACCTTGCATGCCACTTTGGGTCCCCAGGGGGACCCTTGTTAGGAGGAAAAGGCACTCTGCCTCACCCCCCCCCCGTCCATGTGTCGCACCCCCTTACCTTTGGACGCCCGAAATGGGTACCGAAAGAATGGGTACGATGCCCAACAGCAAATGTTGTCCCAAACCAACAGCAGCCGCTGTTTGGGAGGCGGCCTCCTGTCTCGAATGGACACAAGCCGCGGCGGCGTGGACAGCGGATCTTGTTCAAATGAACAAGATCCGCTGTTGGGCATAGTACCCATTCTTTCAGTACCCATCTCGGGCGTCCAGACCGCTGGGATGCCCGCCCAAAAAGTGTCCCCGCGGACTTCCCGGGTCGGCGCCGTGCTGCCCTCCGTGGAGCGCGCGGGGCGCACCAGAGGCAGGGTTACGGAGGCGCTGCCCCGAGAGGGGGGGGAGCCGGCGCCGACCCGAGGAGTGCGCGCAGACCTCCGACGGTGCTTGTGCAGCTCGTTCCTGAGGACGAGGAGGAGGGGGGAGGAGGAGGAGGAGGAGGAGGAGGAGGAGGAGGAGGAGGAGGAGGAGGAGGAGGAGGGGGAGGGAGGAGGAGGGGAGGAGGAGGGGGAGAGGGGAGGAGGGGAGGAGGAGGAGGAGGAGGAGGAGGAGGAGGAGGAGAGGAGGAGAAGGAGGAGGAGGGAGAGGAGGGGGAGGGGGAGGAGAGGAGGGGTGAGGAGGGGGAGGAGGGGGGGGGGTTGGGGGGGAGGAGGAGGGGGAGGAGGGGGAGGAGGGGGAGGAGGAGGAGGCGGAGGGGGAGGAGGCGGAGGCGGAGGAGGAGGCGGAGGAGGCGGAGGAGGCGGAGGAGGAGGAGCGGTCCTCCGCATCGAACCCCTCCTTCGCCATGGAGCGGTTGCCCTTCCCCTCGCGGGCGAGCGGCCGCGGCACACCGAGAGGGCGCCCGCCGCAGCGGGCCGCCCCACAGAGACAAAACAGGACGACAGTCTCAGAGCAAATGGCCCAGAAGCCGACAGCAGTCGGTCGATGTTTGTCGGGGGCGCGCATACATAGATTAGCGATCCATGGATTTGGCGCGCGGTCGCCAACTCCATGGATCGGGAGAGGTGCCCTCTCCAAAATGCGGCCGGTGCCGCCTCGCTCGGCGGCGGAAACCTGCGATTTCCCGTGGAAACGGCAACCGTCGCTAATCCACGCCCAATTGATCCATGTTTGCGATCGCCTGAGTTTGGTCAAGCTCACGCTCGCTCCCCCAAAACGTACCGACGACTTTGTCAAACCAGCGCTGGCTGGCCCGAGCGGTACCAAGTTCGCGCGCGCTCTCACACCACCGACCACCCCTCAGCCCTCCATCATCCCCTCCTCGACATCTCCCTCCGCTCCCTGCTCTGCCCCTCCGCTCCACAGTCACAAGGCATGGACACGACTGCCCTCCCTCCCCCAGCGCCGCCCGCGGGCGGGCAACGCCCCCCGCACTCCCTGCCATGCTTCCTTCACGAGGCGCCGACGCGCACACGACACGAATACGTCCAGCGCCCCTTCTTCACTGAGGCCGCCCCAGCAAATGGGTGGGTAGCTGGTTCCCCCGACCACCCCCGAAAAATGCTCCTTTCCACGTAGGATGCCCCTTCAGCGAACGGAACCTGCCTCTATCTTGTAAGTCGGCACGTGGTGATGTAGAGAGGAGGAGGGAGGAGTTGTCGGCAGAAGCGTTCCACACATCTCGCTCGCCACGTTTGCCGCTGCGCCAGCTCTTGGTGGCCCGCCTTGTGGACACGGCTGCCTCATGACGTAGGAAGTCCCCCGAATTCAACTTGACGACATGTCGCAGCGACTGGTTGCACGGTGATGAGTATGTGCAAATCTGTATGCAGTGCGTGTGCCCGCCATCGCAGGTCCCGTAGCCTTCAAAATGGAATGAAGAATACTCATGACGGGGATCGCACCCCCCGGCGCTACAGAACGCTTTACCTGGGGCCAAGAGGGCCCCGAGAAAAACACCTCCTCCTCCTCATCATCCTCCTCCTCCTTCTCCGAATTCTCCACCTCATCCTCGTCCTCCTTCTCCCATTCTCCCTCCTCCCTCTTCCACACATCCCTGCCCATCCTTCCCCTGCCCTCTTCTCTTCAACTCCCGCCTCCCCCCTCCTCTGCTGCCTCGGAATGCTGGGCGATCACAAGGCGCTCTTACGGCTCTTCGGGGGCGCTCTCGTACCTCGTGTTGCCTCTCGTTGGAGTTGCTTGGGAGCCTCCGCGGGCCGTCTTCAGAGCGTCTTGGGGCGGTATGCACACGTATCGACATACATATATACATATATACATATGTGCGTACGTATATGTATATACATACACACACATATATCTGCATACATATAGATGTATATATATATATATATATGCGTACGTAAATACATGCATGCATACATACAAACAGACAGACTGGCAGACAGACATACATACACTCATACATACATACAGACAGACAGACACACACACACACAAACAGACAGACAGACAGACACACAGACATACAGACAGGCTTACAGACAGACACACAGACAAACATGCATACATACACATTGTCATGAAGCCAGTCGCCGCTAAAGCTGGCCGAAAAGCTTGCGCACACGGGATCCTGCTGATCCCCTATCCCACCTCTTCACCATTCGCCCCCTGCCCACCCCCTCGCTCACCTGGCTGAGAGATCATCGCAGGCGATGGCTAGGTCAGCGGAGCCGCCTCCACCCCGACCACCCCCTGCAAAAGATAAGGAGGAAGGCGAGGAAGTAGGTGTGGACTCCACTCCAACAATGTTCTCCGCGATGCTGATCACTCCAGTTGGATGTGCGCCAGCCTCCCAGCTTCAGCACCGCTGGCCTGAAGCTCGCAGCATCAACAGAGCCAATATGCGCATAAGACCACTACAGCCATCACGGTATCACGAGTCGGCGGCGAGCCCAAGGGGGAACTGAGGAGGGGTGGGCCTTCTCAGAAGGCTGGGAAGACCTCTAGCCTTCTGAGAAGCTGTCTGAGCCGCCTGCCCCGAAGACGCAGAAAGCTTCTCAGCAGGCGCGAGGGCTTCTGACAGGCCCTGCCGCCCTCTGAAAAGGCCTGCCCCCTCTCACTTCCCCCCCAGACGCTCGGGGGCGCGCAAGCATGGATTAGCGATCCATGGATTTGGCGCGCGATCGCCAAATCTATGGATCGGGGGAGGTGCCCTCCCCAAAATGCGGCCGATGCCGCCGAGCTCGGCGGCGGAAATCCGCGATTCCCATGGAAACGGGACCCGTCGCTAATCCCTTGATATCATGGCCCCCGCCATGATATCCACCCCCCCTAGTCATCACCCCCCTCTTTGCCGCCCCCGATCCAACCCTCGGCTACACGCAAGAGTGGCCCTGGGTAAGAAAGACCTTTGGTGCGCGGCTTTTTGGGGGCCGCGGGGGGACCAAACCTGGGCGCGCAAGCCGCTGCTCCTGCTTCGTTTTCAGCCACCTGGGGACCCGTCTGTGCCCGCACCAAAGGTCACTCCGGCGAAAAGTCACTCTTACGTCTAGTCGAACCCCCCCCTCCGCGCCCCTCCGACCCCGGCAGGGGCGCGCTCGAGGGGGCCGCGGCACCATCCGGCGCAGGCTCTGCAGGGACCGGATCGCGTTCCTCGCGCGAGGGCGCGCGGGCACCCCCCGCTTCCCCCGGCGTCCCCCCTGCCTACAATCAAAAACCCGAATAAGGACGCGCGACTTTGCTCAGGGTACCCTTGCGTCCTTGCTCTTCCTTGCTCTTGCGGCTCGTCCTTGGCCTGTGTCGCTTGCCCGCTTGCCGCCCCAAAAATCCCAACTTCGGCTTCCAAGGGTCTGGCGTCCTTACCGCGCACCCGACGGTCCACAGTGTTTGTCGGCCCTGACGGCCTGAAAGACTGCAGTCAGCCCGCAGAATATAAGGAGGCGCGATGAGGATGCAAGGCCCTTGGACGCCCATTTCGAAGCTCTCCGAGCGGGGCGCGGCCAACGGAAGTGGCCAAGGATGCACCGAGGAGGCAAGGATGCAAGGGTACCCTTGGGAGGGATGCCCAGCCTTACTCTGCGGGTCGACTGCATGCACCGTACCCAGTCCTGGGTCGAGGATCGACGACGCCTGGAGAGACGCCAGCGCGGTACTGTGCATAGAAGTCCGTCCGCGGAGTACCACTCTGCCCACCCTCTGCCCCTCGGCCACCCTCCCCCCCAACCCTGATCTGAGGCTGCCAGGGGGGATCCTGGCCAGAGGTGCCCCCCAACTTCCAGCGCGATTTGACACGGGCCCCGTGGGCCACGAGAGGAGCGCCCTGGAGGCCACCCGGGCTTCCCTGGAGCAGCCGGGCTCAACATGGGCCAGTGCCACCTCGGGCAACATCCGGTCGGACCCCTCTCAAAAGATCCGATTGATCAGTTCTTTCCATACGGGGTCCCTGGAAGTCCCGACGCTTTCCCCTGGGTCGGATGTTCGTCCTGAGTCGTTCTTTGACGGTACTGGGTTCTGGTGAGAACCCCCAGAGGCCAAAAACGGCCCACGAACAACGTGCGTGCGCACGGACAGTCTCAAAACATTCGAAGTAGATGGGTCCACTCCCACGGCATCTGGTCCTCGCCGCATGCTCGCCACCCTCTCGCCACGTCGCACCGCCACCCCCCCCCCCAAAAAAAAAGCCGCGCACACACACAACCACACTTCGAGTAGGTAGGAGATCGACTACTGACTTGATCTACCCACAAACAAAAAGCAGCCGTCGAATCTACGAACAGCACGTATAATGCTCTCATAGGTGTGCGGGCATTATCATTATGTTTCGAATGCGAACAAAAATTAGATTTCGGGGGTATATCACTTCTGTAGTCCATCCCCCACTCGAAAACCATTACCCATCGGTCGAAAGAAGTAGATGGAAACGTGAAGCAGGAAGGTGGTGGGAGTAGATTGGGCTTCCGCCCGCCCCAGGGAGAGGGCAGAAGGAAACCACTCGATCCTGGGAGTAGGAAGGCGCCTCAAGTCGATCGGGATCTCGGAGTCCAGGTATACCTGTTTCCAACGACTGGCATGTACCTTCACACTTGGCGAACTGCGCCCGCTGCTCTGGGGCCGCTGCTCCGGGGCCCGCTCCTCCTCCTCCTCCCTCCTCCTCCTCCTCCTCCCCTCCCCCTCCCCCCCTCCTCCTCCCCCTCCCTCCTCCTCCTCCTCCTCCCTCCCCCTCCCCTCCTCCCTCTCCTCCGCCCTCCTCCTCCTCCTCCTCCTCCTCCTCCTCCTCCTCCTCCTCCTCCTCCTCCTCCTCAACTGCGGGGATCGGTCAAGCTGTTCTCGTATGTGCAGATCTGTGCGCAGACGTTTCTCCTTCAAGGGCGGGCCGGTGCTGTCCCGAACTGCGCCCGCTGCTCCGGGGCCGCGCCCTCGAGGAAGCTCTTCACGAACGGCATCTGGCTGTCCTGGATGACCTTTGGCTACCGGAGGTGGCTTCTCCAGCCTCTCCTCCCCCTGCTCCTACTCCTGCTCCTGCTCCTCCTGCTCCTCCTGCTCCTCCTCGTCCTCCGCCTCCTCATCTGGCGCTCATCCTTCTCCGTTCGCAATCTTCCCCCTCCTCCCGCGACATCTCCTCCCTCCTTACCGCATCATCCTACGCTTCCTGCTCCTCCTCCTCCTGCCTCCTCTCCTCGCTCCCCTTCCTTATCCTCCCTCTTCTCCTCCCTCATCCTGCTGCTTCCCCCTCCTCCTCCTCCTCCTCGCTCCTCTCCACCTCCTGCTCCTCCTCCTCTTTTCCTTCTGTCTCATCCTGCACCTCCTTTCTCCCTCTTCTCCTCCCATCCTCTCCTTGCCTCTCCTGCTCCTCCTGCTCCTCCTGCTCCTCATCCTCCCCTCTTCCTCCTCCTCCTCTCATCCTCTCCTCCTCCTTCTCCTCCTCCCCCTCCTCCTCCCTCCTCCTCCTCCTCTCCTCCTCCTCCTCCCTCCCTCTCCTCCCTCTCCTCCTCCTCCTCGTCTTCCTCCTCCTCATCCTTCTCCCTCCTCCTCCTCCTCCTCCTTCTCCTCCTCCTCTATTCCTTCTCCTTATAAATATATTATTATTGTCGCACCCCGAGGCCAGTCTTAGGGCGGGCC